ACAAGTTCGTAATTTTTTTTTTGCTGGATGCTTTTCAGACTGTCTTCGGGTGAATTAGAAGACGAAAATGAAAATCCAAGACCACTTCCATCAAAGTGGTATAAACTCCATGGAATCACCCTTTACATTTTCAACATCGTTTTTTTTTCTCTTTTTTTCGCCGGTGCTCTATTTCTTTTTGTTTAGTGTTGTTGCTATTATTTTGTTATTCTTAATTTCACACTTATTTTTATCATCATTAATTTAACTGACAAAAAAGACTGTTGTAAATGTTCGTCATATTTAGAGTAAGCATAAAAGAACTATTATAATTTTCGATCAACTCACAAAGACTAATATTGTTTATTTTTGGAAGTTATAACTTGAACAATTTTGAAAAAAACTCAAGAAAGTCTGATGTCAGCTGTTTTTTTCCAGATAATGTCTGTAATGGTGGCGTAGACTGGTTACTAAGGTCTGTAATTGGGATAGGAGAACGGACGCAAAAATCTCGTTTTTAAACTTACATTCAGTATTTTCTTAGAAAACTTATGTTGGCTCCACAAAAGATTTGAAGTTTAGATTGCAGGATGCGATGATTTGATACTCTCTGCTACAGGCTCTTTTGTTGTTTTTGATTATCTTCGTACCCATAGAATTCATTAGAGCATGACTTTCTTGCACTTTTCCACAGAGATATTCTGGAAGCATCTAAAAAAATCATTCGAAAATGTGACAATGTGGGTGAGTAAAAATTAGAGAAATTGCAACACAGTGGAAAAAGGAATCAAACATACTGAAGTTCGGAAAATTGTACGCTTTATTCGATTATTTTATAAAAAACAGTTTTAAAATCGGATGTCCAGAAGGATTCTAAATATATCGAAAACGTTTTCAAGTCACTAGAATCATATGTCAATACTGGTCTTTCCCTACTCAACTAAGCGATTTAATGCCTCTCGCAAAATTATAATAAACTATAACACCTTATGCAAAAAACCAATTTGAAAGATAAATCAAAGAAATACTTCTGTTTTTACTCCTCAAAGAAACCAATTACAATAAATAACTGTATAATTCTGATATGATAACAGTGAAGAAAATATGTCAATGCAAATCATAAGTGAGAAACTAAAAGAATATCTTGAAACTATATCATGTAACCTATCGGCGTAAAATGATGCGTTCCTTATTACCGATGAAAGAGCAATTCATAAATATGAATCTGGTGATTGTCAATCTGAAAATAAATTATTTTCTCTTGACTCCTTGTATGATTCTGTGCCTTGTAAAAACGACAAAAGACAAGGATATATCTGTCATATTCTTGAAAACATAAAATATTTGTTACTTCAGAGCAAAAGGAAAAAAGAACCATCCTCGTTTTTATCAGATTCTATCTAATATTTCTCTACAAGCATCGTAATACGTAGATTGGGTGTGAGTGTTGATCTACTTTTGAGCTACACCGACACCTACCCATACCCTCTTGCTGAGCATTATGGCGTTCTTCTCAGCACTACGATATCTAGCGGCTAACTAAAAAAAACTAGGTTTTTATTTTAGGAGTTAATGCGGTCACAGGTCGAAAATTCTTGTGGACTTTCGGTCCGGCCATAAAAAACACAGAACTTTCCGATCGGGTCAAAAGTCTGGGTCGAAATTCATGTAACCCCTGGTCTACATTTAACATGCAAAATACTGAATGCATTGCAGCAACAACAGCTGTCCAGTATTTTAATAACCGGTAATAAATGGATAACCATGAATATGGATGTGAGTGTTCGTCAAATCTTCACCTACACCTGTGATACACTGTCAATCTTGATATAATCTTCCAATCATTAAAATAATCTATATGTTAAATCAGGGCCCACGGAAAATTCGTAGATTCTGCAATGAAAATAGCACAGACAGAGAATAAATCAAAAAACATTTGTTTTCTTTTCTTAGAGCAGTGTATTTTTTATGCAGATGATGACAGAAAAAGAGTTGCTGAATAAAAGATCATGTCAGTTAAGAAAGTTCAGGCATCTTCGAATACGAGTGTGCATTGCGTTACTCTCACAAATGTCTATATTCTTTTCAGTATACAGAAAAATCTTGAAAAAGACTTCTTTTATATAAATTTCTTTCTTGATTTATCTTTCTTTCAGGATTCCAAATCGTATTTCATAGGCTTTCGTCGCTGCCCAATCAAACAAACAAGTAAGGACAATATGTAATAATGAGTCGGGTGTTTTTTTCGAAAAACAAAATCATAAAAGGGGTACATTTTTATGATTATTTTTTGCGTGTTCCATTTTTAAGGTAGGCGTATCCATATAAAGAATAATCACATGTCATAAATCTATGTAATTTTAGGAGTACTTTCAATGAGTTCTTAGTTATTCTATTCGTATTACCACCTTATAGTAATGACTCCTTAGTTGATTGTAGTTTATAAAACTTTATATCGATATTAAATTTAGTATAGAGTTCTATTAGTCATAATCAACGAAGAAACCATTGTTATAAGGTGATAAAACGACTAGTGTAACTAAGAACTCCTTGAGATTATCCCTTAAATTACCAACACTTATGAAATGTGATTGTTCTTTGTATAAATACTCTCAATTCAAACATAAAACGCTTGTATTAGCCAAAAACTAATTACTAAGTTCTGTAAGAATAACGTATATAAAGATTGTTTGCCAATTCTCGGAGTTATTCTAAATTGTTTTTGTATTTTTCGAAGACTTAAATTTGGACAGCAGCAGAAGATAGAGAGTCTAACCCTAATTCGGTCATCAAATTTTATCTGAAAAAAAATCTTCATAACTTCTCTATAACAGTCGTTCGAGATAATTTTAAGTTTTCTGGGTAGATTAAACATTTCTCAAGAAATTACGTCATTCGATTCATCACCTCAAAATCTCTATTCACATATGTTTTTTATAATTCTTAAGTTTTTTAGCACATTCGAATGATGTTAATGATCAAATTATGTAACTGATCTCAAAGTTAATCACCCAATCTATTTTAAATTGTTAATTTGATCACCTAATGCAAAATACATGGGTTTTAATGAATGATAAAAAAAAAAGATGTTCACACTACCCAAAATACGAAATTCCTGGTTGCTACTAATACAAAAGCTGTATTACAAATCAAAGATTATCGATATGCAACATATGAGCAGTATAGCTTCTGTTTCATATAGTATTCCATCGATGTCACGTACGAGAGACTTCCATTATTATTTTGTTTCTTTTCAATATTGGCAGCATTTAAATTTGAAATCAGAAGATTGTTTGAAATAAACATATACAAGCATCTTTTTACTATTAAATAAAAATAAATTTAACTTTATACACTATAGCTACAAAATATCATTTATACGAAAACAAATATTTTCTAAGAGAAACAGTCTAAATTAATAAATAGCTGTATCCTTTTTTCCTTGAGACTATGATTCAAGATAAGGGAAATAGTCATTTTTAGCAAAAGTTAATTCAGATGCAAATCAATCATATGCCTCATGCGATCGACTATTACATTGCAAACCCATTAGATGCTTTCCGCAATAGAGAAGCAAGTAACTAGCAACAAAAACCCCCAATACTAGCATAAATTAGTGCTGCTCGATAATATTTTCACTGTACCACTATTTTTCTCAAAAATGCATATACGACTAGATTCAACTATGACTCACACTCCTCCAATCAAGAGAACAATAGTCGATTTCAACTTATTATAATCTATTACCCTTTCGTTTACTTTGAGAAGCCAGTTTCATCTAAATTAAAGATTGTACTATGCTAGTCACAGTTTCATTTGAACGTCATGTTTTCAAGTGTCACGAACAAATTTGAAAGGGATTCAATAAATGAATGAAGCTATTTTTTAACACGATTACTGAATAAACCCAATGGCTTGATATAGATTCAGGTGTAACTGAACAACCAAAGCTGGGTAAGAGTCGAAGCAAAATAACAAAATAAGATTCTTCAGTACTATTAAAGTACGATTGACGACCTATTTTACTACCCACGAACGGAAGATGTGGGTGTGTGAGTGGAGTTACTGGTCCTCTCTACACCTACCCACGCCCATACTCTATTGTTGTGATCGCACTCTCAATAATTGATATTGAAACACAGACTGTGGAAATCAATTAGAGACATATGTTCGTATATAACTAGGAAATATATAAATGCTCTGGTGAGCTATGTCTTTCTATTACTGTGCTTATAATTTGTTAGTCTGTTTTATAGTAATTGCATGTTGCTAGTCTCTTTTTGTCACATGACATCAACGTAAAATTGGTTATACGGAGTCGAAGAACCTCCTACTGCTGTCATCCAAAATGATATTGTGTAAGTATGACCGATCGTGGCTGGAAAAGCTTGCGCTAAAAAATTAATTGATCCATTAGTACCATAGCAATGATCCTGGTAGCAATTGCCAGTTGATAAGTGACAGCTGGTACCAACAGTGACCTGTCCACCAGTTGTGTTGCATGCGTTATTACACGATAGCACCCAATCAGTCAATGTTACTGTTGAATTTTCAAAACTAGGATTATTAAGCAGTTGGATGGACGGCATGAACACATCAGTCACAGACACATCGTCCAAATAATAAGTTCGAGCAGGTCCAGTCTGAATTCCAAATTGGAGAATAGGCGATATAGTGTATGCTGTAGTATTATATGAATAAAAGCTCCATGAAGTTGAAGGATCCCATGTTCGATTAACGACAGATCCAAGCCCAGTTGATGAACACACTTATGTTGCATGAATCAGATGAAAAGTAAGTCAATATGATAGAAAAAAATACTTGCCTGTGTTTGTAGTAGTAGTAGTTATTGATGTTGTTGTGGTGCTGATTGTGGTTGCGGTTGTGGTATTGGCGATTGTTGTGGATGTTGCTGCTTTAGTTTAAAAATAGCGTTTAGATTAAAAAAATTAAAGAACGAATCTGTTTTTATTTCTACTAATAAATTAGCAATTTTACTTTATAGGAAAATTAGATTTGCCATGGTTTAAGTGGCAAGCTTTCGAATGGATGTGCATGTCAAGCGTTGCATTAATTGCATATACACGATGACACCTTATCCTCGTACCTATTAATTTTCTTTGTGATTACCTGCGCTATAATTTGACATGGAATCTGTCACGTTACCAGATGTCAACCAAAACGAAAGAACCACTGCTAGAGCATTCGCAGCTAACAGTAAACCAATTACCAAACCAATAAAATATGCTCTATTATTCATCAATAAAATACACCGACATTTTCTGCAAAAGAAAATTCATTGATGTATTTTGGGAAATCCAATTTCATAATTTTAGATGATTCAAAAAAATATTAGATAACTACAAAGATACTGTCGCTTAAACGCAACAATAAAAATATGTCATTTTGCATATTTAATACGTTCTCATATCTTCCGATTATTATTTCTTACCATTAAGAAACAGCAACCAACATTTCTTATTTTAAAATAGACATCAAACGAGAGCATCCGTATAACTTGCAGAAATATGAATCTTAAACTGTATCTAATGAGAATATAAGTAAAGCTAGAAGCTGAGAACACATTAATGACAAAACTATATATCTTATGAGAAATACGAATGCAAGTTTAATTTTTTTTAGTAGATTTAATTATTTAAACGGAAAAGATTTTTCTCTTTCATGAATATCCTGAAATTCATTTGCTGACGATTTGACAGTTTTCAAATTTTGTAATTTCTTGTTACCTCCGCGGTTCAGTTTCTAACGGCCGGTCGTGTCGTTGACCGTACATTGGATCAAATTTCGAGTTTTTCGATGGCATAACAGGCAAGTTATTCAATAATGGATTTGCTTGAATTTGGTAAACTAATGTTGTCTGTTTTTGACTGACCGAATAGTTTTTCAGTCGTTTACTTTCTTGCTATAACTGATTTCTTCACTGATTCAGAGCTGAAGAAACACAATACTACCGTATTTTTTTCTTTTAATATTTTGAAAGTTTATGCAAAATTCATTTCAAGATATTTATATAGTTTCTTTTATTTTATTTGTTTAGAACGATTGATTGAAAATCAGTATTCAAAAGAATGAAATTTACAATTCAATAAATGAGAATGTAAACATCAAATTTTTATTCAACCCTCTTTCACTTGACGGTAACTAAGACTCTCCGAGAAAATTTATGCTCAATCTTTGTGTGACAGATCTTATTGCCGAGATTAATACGTCGTTGTGTTTTAATAAATAGAATGATCGATATTATAGAACATTAAGTGAATGTGATCGAAAAACACAATTCCGTTGAATAGAAACTATAAACAGATACTTCAGACTTTTCTTTAACATAAATTTGATGTTATTAATGGACTGAAACACAATCATACACAACATGTATAGAAAATTAAATTAATAGTTAACAACAAAGCTAAATCAGTTGTACATCTGCAATTTATATCAAATATATTTCATCAAGTGGAGCACGTACTATTTTATTGTTTCTTTTTTCGAGATTTCAACACATCGACTTTTCAATGATAATAATTGTTAGAATTTTTAGATTTTCTTAATATATCTTATCTCACAAAATTAAATAAACACTAGCTGAATGTAAAAATTTCCATCGTAATCGTTACTACTAGCAAACAAACAAATAACAAGTTGAACAGCTCAAACTTAACTTTGCCAGTTTAAAAGTGAAATTCAGTGCTCTTGCAAACATGATTTGATTCTAGAACTACTAAACAGTTCTTAATATTTAAATATTTCGAAGAAATATCTAATGCTTCGATAATAGCATAATAAACATTTTCGAATTCTAGTGATTTTCAAGCACTGATATTTGAATGAGAAACATATCTTTACCCATCAATTTATGATTTTCTATCTGACACACGTCATTCTTCGTAGGGACAGTTAACTTTGTTTTTAATATCCACATTAAACGATTACAACTACTGGAGATTGAAAACAGAAACTACTATAGAGGTATTTGCACTTTTCACAACTACGGCATACAGCTGCTACCAAAACTCAGCTTCATTTCTGATTACTTGCTGCGTAGAGATCGGACCCAACTTCTAGAATTGGCTTACATGTTCTTATGACGTCTGTACAATTAGAGTTGAATTGATTGACTCACTTATTCTGATTGGTGTATTAGTAAAGAAAACAGCAATCTGAAAATGATTCTTTGTACTTTTTACTATTATGATGGGTCAATAATGAAGAATAGTATTTAGAGTAGTAGAATATTCTCTTATAGAAAGTCTTTTTAATGGCGTGTTCTCCACCTCAAACGAACTAATTTCATGCACTTCTACTTTCATTATTTTTCATTCCAAGAGCTTTCAATTACTTCATGAATAAAGTGAATCAAAAAATTATTTCTGAAAAGAACAAAAAAAAACTTTGTATTTCAATGAAGCAGTGCCATCGCGTTCTTTTATACACAGTAAAGAGTTTTTATTAATGCAAAGCTCTCCTGCTTAAACAAAAAAACTGCAATTTTTGTTTCGTATAGGTCACATACCACTCCTCTCCTTGTTCTTCTTTATGCTGAGCTACATAAAAGTGCATGAAGAATTTGCATGCACAGTACAGATGAAAAATTTGCGACAACATTGTAAATAATGGTCACTGTAGCATAATTTTCTCTGAGTAGTGGCTTGTTTTTTCGTCTTGAAAAGTGGGGAAAAAAGACGATGTTGATTGCCAAACATGTGCATTACCACTTATTTTCGTATGTCTTAGTTACAGCGCAAATAAGAGAAACAGTTCAAGTATAATGAGAGTGTGGATGTGGATGATCAAGAAGAGAAGACCCACACCCTTTTAAGAAGAGAAAACGATGATGATGCGTTTCTCTACAATTTCACAAAGATAAATATTCCTACATTATCATATCGTGTATGTCAGCCAACGCTATTTATTTTGAAGGATCGTCATCATAATAAGTACCAAGTATATAAAAGGAAAAAGGCCTAACTGACACACCGAAAAAATAACAGAAGAATACAGAACATTAGACAAAGGTAAATATTTTCTACACTAGTGAGATATACCAATGGAAAATTTTTGTGTTGTTATTTTTATATTAATAATAATATATTAATTGAGATTCCAATATTAACTGTTTTGTATTTGATCACTGATTGGTGGTAGTTCGCTCGAATCATAATCAAAATATCACATAAACAAACACAACAATCAAAATATCGTTGTTATCGTTCTTAATTAAGATAAAGATCTGATGTGTAAACAATCGTCTTATACATTTTTAGGGTGTGGGTGTGGGTCTTGTCGAATACAACATCAACACTCCACACTCACACCCACACCCAAATCGAACTTGAAAATATTACTTTTTGCTTGATTAATGCAAATTTTCTCAGTGCTCCGATATTGCTAATTTATAAACGTGATTTTTGGAAAAGTAATAATCAATCTATATGACAGTTACTGATACAAAAGACATTCTGATTGAATTTAATAATAGAGCTTTTCAAACGTTACAAATGTCAGAAAATTGGACAAGTTTGAAGAATAGAGTCGTAGAAATTTGCATTCGACATCTTCTGAAATAAGGCTGATGTTCGAACAATGAGAATTGATGAAGATATTTTTTTCAAAATTACTAATAATGCTTTTTTGTTCTGCCACATCCTACATATCTCTCAGGATATTGTGACTGTAATCGTATAAGAATTCAGTTACCATTGACTTTCCATTTTAGATCATTAACTATTAGGTATGATCCACACTTTATTGATATTACTGTAATCATTCGAATAGACTCCACTTTTTACCAATTAAATGCGTGATTTTTCCAACAACCCATATGTTTTATATCGATAGGGTACAAAAATTTTTGGCAAACATTCACTTAGTTTAATACCAGTACTTGGTTTGTTGATCATGATTCTTTACTGAATCAATTTTTTTACGTCATATCTGAGAAAAGGATCAGGAAATCTTAGAACATCATATTCAAAAACTTCTTAATGATTATTCAGATAATTATTATTTTAATGTATGAGATACCTATTTGATTTAGATTTCTTTTTAATAAAAAATTTGTTTTTTTTTCCTTATAGACTGTTATGACATGTGAAGGCACAATATATACAGAAACGAAACGATTAGCAAGTATGAAATATGCACGTGAGAAAAATTTAACAGGATTAAAATATTATTTATTACTACGAACGAAAGGCTTGACAATGATTATACAAGAGGCAAAACGAAAAAGTGGATTGCTTGAAAAATAGGATATTTTATTTTAATTTTATGAACTCATGTTCTTTTTTAGTACCAGCTATTTATAATTTTATGCTTGGTTTTTCGAAGGATAGTGCTTCACC